CTTGAGAAGTAGGTGTTAATGGACGACGGTAGTCACTTATCATGTCCCGTCGGGTTCGTTGTAAAAACACAATATAACTTTAATCCAAACAGAAGTATGTAAGGGCCCTCCCATTAAGAAAAATATATGATCCAAGTCAAAATAAGAAAATCCAAATAGTAAAATTTATATACTTCTGTTTGAACTACAGTTATGTTGTGTTTATTTCTAACTCCATTAACTAAACAAATTCATGTACATTACTGTTCTAGTAATTAATGTCAGTACAACAAAATGCAGCAAATCGTGTGTGACACAAAGCTGGCATAGATCACTGTGTTAGCGATAGACCGAGGAGTCACAAATATAACCTGGGCATCACCTTGTGGGCGTAGAGGTGGGACACACAAATATCAATATTTAAAAAAGTATTTGTTTAAACTATTTTAAAAGCACATTGTGTGAGTAGGATGTGATTTTTTTTATACTTTTTTTTTGTTTTTTGTCTCGTATTGTTTCTATGTCCGTCATGTAAGATCTACACTCTAGAATGGAAATCATTACATTTCATTTATTCTTTATTGTACACAATAGTCACTAGGAGTATGGACTGATTAACAAAAAAAAGATACCTGTCTCTATTTTTTACTAATTTAAGCAAAGCTAAGCAAAACAACATATTTCCTGTTAAAGTCAACTTTGCTCTTATCTTTAGTTTTCTTTTCTTTATTTAATTAAATTAATTATATTTAAAATTAAAATTTTGAGCTAAACTTGTTCTTTATAGAAGCAAGTTCACAGACAATGTATTTAGTCCAGATAACACGAAATATCGATAATTTCCCATCTCTATAACAGCCCGCTGAAACCTATAAATCGTTCGACGTCCGATTTGTCTGTCTGGCGGACCGTTTTGTTTTTGCATCTCACTCATTTGGCCACCTTTATTGGTTCGGTTGGTTTGAAACGGTTTGATCCCGTCAACGCAATACGTCTTTTTGCGTTCATTTTTCGAGCGTTTATTGTTTTAGAAGGTCGTTTTAAATTGTTAGATCGTTATTAACGTTTTGTTGTATTCGAGTTATTCGATTGTATTCGATTTCAGTATACGAGTTCGTGAGTCGATCTTTGCTGTGTTGATAGCTGTACAATTACTTTTTGAGTATTCTAAGTTGTAGTGAATTGTCTTATATAATGAGGTACTTTAGATAATACAAAATGATTGACTGTCATCATGTTGTTCATCAATCATCAACAGCCTTTAACAGTCCACTGCTGGACAGGCCTCTCCTTAGAAAGGAGGTTTTGGCCTACTATACCACGCTGGAAAGACGGGTTGGTATAGGGTTTGTGTGGGGTGCTGGGCTAGAAAACCTCCTCGTGGTGCACCCTGGAAACGCTGGCGATGGTACTGTTCCCTCCTTGTCCTCTTGGAGGAGAGGATTATCTCCAGCGGCCAATATTCTAGCAGAAGAGGCAGCCGTTCATCGGCTCTCGGGCAAGGCCTGGTCCAGCAGGGTGGGCGTGTCTGCCGGTTGCCCTGCTGGCTCTTCGCTCTTCGGAGCATGGAGGAGGAAAACCTCGGTAAAAAACCTGATGGCGGGGCCCTGTAGGGGCCACAGTTTTCTCCGCTGACAGCGGTGGAGAAAGGAGGACGGGCTCGGCGTGTACTCACACTACCACCGAGCAGGCAGGGGGACGTAGTCTCCCTGTCAACCGTCGGCATATCGCAATCCCGAGAAGAGCGCTGTGGTTAAGTCTCGCGGCTCTGATAGGGGGCGAGGGTCTTGGCTTAACCGCCCGGACCGCGAGGAAGATAACCTCTCTAAAAAATTCCCCGAATCCCGTGTTCTGGTGCGTGGCCAGGGGATGCATGGCTGATGGGAAGTTCAGTCGCGAGCGCACTCCAAGCCGAGGTACCTGCGGACCCCTCGGTTGGGTTAAAAACTTACGCTTGCCCGGGTAATGGGGGATCTCTGCCCGGGTGGACCTTTAGTTCTCCCCCACTCGTGGGATTTATTATGGAGCATATCAATAAAAACATACAGAAACCGATCGGAAAACTAACCAAAACGAAAAAGGCAAGTCAAACGGACACGGCAACGAGGAAGGAGAAGAAGAACAGTGGAGTCGATGGGTCGTCCACTGAGGGTGAGGTGGCGTCGGGAACGCCCATCTCGATGGGGCTCCCAGAAGTCAGTCTGACTCTGATCTCTGGGAGCCGAAGAGCATCGGATCGGCTGCGCTCCGGATCCGCCGCTTCGTCGGATGGCGCGGAGGCCATGGAAGCGGAGCGAAGCGACAGCCGAAAACGCGGACGCTCAGGGGACGTGGAAACCGACACGTCCGGCGAAATGATTGCCACCAAAGGTGGCAAGCAGCCGCCGAGGGAAGGGCGCGTAAAACCGGCCTCGGTCTCGACCCCGTCAGGCTCCGCGTTCTCAAACGCGGAGTCCTACAGGAGCGTGCGAGTGGACGGCGAGGCCGTAGCGGAGGAGGAGATCGCGGATCTCCTGCTCAAGGTTCGGGAGCCGGTGGGGGGAAATGCCCCCCAGGCTCCCGTGTCCGTGCAGAGAGGGCGAAAGCGGCGGTGGCCGTCATCGACAAGGTGGCCACCAAATCCGTGAACCTTAAGGGCTCGTTTGTGAGGGCCCTTAAGGACTCCTCCTCCGCTTTGTCAGAGGTCGTGGAGGGCCTAGCGGGCGACGTCTCTCGCCTGCAGGTGGCCAACGAGAGGCTGACGGAGCGGGGGAACGAGCTGAGGTGCTCAGTTCGCCCGCTTCCAGGCGAACCTCCCCGAGCGGGAAGCCCCGTCCGCGTCCCAGCCTGCCCCTACCACCAACTCAAGGGGCATTTGACTCCCAACTGCGAGAAAATCCTCATCGCAGTTGGGAATATGCTGGACGGACGCCTGGCTGGCCTGGAGGCGAGACTGCCCCCTGCGCCGAGTATGCGCCCCCCCGCTCGCGTCGGCACAGCGGCCTAAGGCCGCCGCTCCGACCGCGCTCCCCGTTGTGGGAGGCCGCGTTTCTTACGCGGCGGCGGCGTCTGCCCCTACTCCATCGGCTCCACAAAAGCCGAGGAGGGGGGCCAAGGCACCGGCCCAGGCGCCGGCCAAGGCACCGGCTAAGGCGCCGGCCAAGGCACATCTCCAGGCGCCGGCCAAGACGGGGCCTAAAACAGCGCCGAGGAGCGGAGTGGCATTCCCTCCACTCCCCACTCCGACACCCCTTTGGCAGGAGGCGAGGGGCTCCAAGAAGTCCCGAAGGCGGGCCAAAAAGGCTGCCAAAAAAGCAGCCCAGGCCCAGCCTTCGCCACCGGTGGCAACGGCCTCCACAAAGAGGCCGCGGAAGCTGCAGCCGCCCAAAACCGCGGCTGTAGTGGTGACCGTGTCCCCGGAGGCGGCGGACGGCGGGCTGTCCTACGCGGCCGTCTTCAAAAAGGCCCGGGACAGCCTCGCCAACGATTTTGGAACGGTGGGGGTCAGAATGCGCCTCGCCCAGACGGGAGCTCGAGTCCTCGAGTTCCCTGGGGCTGAAGGCGCTAAAACGGCGGACACATTTGCCGAGAAGCTGCGGGGACTCTTTACAGCCACGGATGGTGTAAAGATCGCCAGGCCTACTAAGTGCGCAGAGCTGCGCATCTCGGGCCTGGACGACTCTGTGACGGCCGAAGATGTCCGCGCCTGTAATCCGGGAGAAGACGGGTGCAGCGCGGACAACGTCAGGGTCGGCACCATCCGCCCCGGTCCAGGAGGGCTTGGCGCCGTGGTGGGTCAGCTGTCCCGTAGCGTCGGCCAAAGTATTGGCCGACGCCGGCAGGCTGCTCATCGGTTTCGTGAGCGCCAGGATCACAGTCCTGGCGGCGAGACCGATGAGATGCTACAAATGCCTGGCATCGGGACACACGCGCGTCAAGTGCGACAGTTGTTTTGACTGCGGCGGACTGTGTTTCCGCTGCGGTCAACCGGGGCATAAGGCGGCAGAATGCTCTGCCGCCCCTCACTGCCCAGTGTGTGCGGCGGGCAATAAGCCCGCCAATCACCAGATGGGGCAGAGAGGCTGCAAGCCTCCCCGCAGTTCTCGGCAGACGTCGGGGGTTAGCCAGTCGACCCAGGCTGCCTCCGATGTAGTTCGTGCGTCGACGTCGTCGCCCATGGAGGAGGTTGTAGAGACGATCCAGTAATGGATCAAGTCTCCAACCTCCTGGTCCAGACGAACCTGAACCACTGTGCCGCGGCGCAGGATCTCTTCCTGCAAACCATGGCACAGTGGTCGATAGGTGTTGCCGTAGTCGCGGAGCCCTATTCTGTCCCTCCCCGTCCAAACTGGATGGGTGACTGGGACGGCTCCGTGGCAGTCGTCGGTTCCACGACGGCTCATTCCCCGCCCTTGTCGCTAAGAGACAAGGGCACTGGATATGTTGCCGTCGAGTGGGGGGGGATCACCATATATGGTGTCTATTTCTCCCCCAACCGGAGTTTGAACGACTTCGAGGTTTTCCTAACCAGCTTGGAGACCTCGATACGGCGACTAGCGTCTGGGCACGTCCTTGTGCTGGGGGACTTCAACGCAAAGTTCATTGCGTGGGGTTCCCCCAGGGCGGACGCCAGGGGCGAGGCCGTAGAGGAGTGGGCGGCCTCGGTGGGCCTCTGTCTTCTAAACAGAGGCTCCACCAACACGTGCGTGCGACAGCAGGGGGGGTCGATAGTGGACCTTTCGTTCGCTACCCCTGCCCTCGCCGCACGAGTAAGGAACTGGTGTGTCCTGGAAGAGGTTGAGACGCTCTCGGATCACCTGTATATCCGATTTGAGCTCTCCCGGACCCAGGACTCCAGTAGGGGTCACGTGGCGCGGCGTTTATCCCGCTTTCCGCGGTGGGCTGTTGCCAGGCTGAACCGGGACCTACTAGAGGAGGCAGCCATAATTCACTCGTGGCTGTCTCCTCAGGCTCCGACCGAGGAGGTCGACGTGGGGGCTGGCCGCTTTCGCGATGCGATTACGCATGTATGCGATGCGGCCATGCCCCGCGTTCGAGGTCGTCGGCCTCCAAGGAAGGAGGTCTACTGGTGGTCCCAGGAGCTGGCGGACCTCCGTGCGGCCTGTACACGTGCCCGGAGGTCCTACACACGCAGTCGGCGGCGTCACCGTGGAGACGGTGAGGAGGACCGGCTTCATGAGGAGTACCGACGGGCTCGGAAAACTCTGAAGCTGGCCATTAGCCGCGCCAAAGAGGAAAAGAGACAGGAGATGCTGGAGGGTCTTAATCGTGACCCCTGGGGTCGCCCTTACCGCGCGGTGCGACAAAAGCTCCGCGCGTCGGGCCCCCCCCTTACGGAGACTCTCCAGCCCAGCTTCCTGCGAGAAGTGGTTGAGGGCCTTTTCCCACAACGGGCGGAACACACTCCCCCGTCGATGGCCTCCTTGGCCGGAGACGACGGGGAGCACGGGGAGGATAATGTTCCGCCCGTCCGGGAATCGGAGGTAGGGGCGGCTGTTCTACGGATCCGTTCCAAGAACACCGCCCCTGGGCCAGACGGGGTACCGGCCCGAGTGCTGGCCCTGGCCCTCAACCACATGGCAGACCGCCTCGGGGAGGTGTTCGACGCTAGCTTGGCGTCGGGACGCTTCCCTGAGTGCTGGAAGAGCGGGAAGCTGGTCCTATTAAGGAAGCCGGGACGGCCTGCCGATTCGGTCGCGGCCTATAGGCCCATCGTGCTGCTGGACGAGGCGGGCAAATTGTTTGAGAGGGTTCTTTCTGCCCGCATCGTCCGGCACCTTTGCGAGGTGGGCCCCGATCTGTCGGACGCCCAATTTGGTTTTCGGGCGGGGCGTTCGACGGTCGACGCCGTGTTGCGCCTGAGGGCCGTGACCGAAGAGGCCGTGAGCTGTGGCGGCGTGCTGTTGGCGGTGTCATTGGACATCGCCCAACGCATTCAATAGTCTGCCATTCAGCTGCATCAGGGAAGCACTCCACTATCATGGGGTGCCAAAGTACCTGAGGCGGCTGGTGGCAGACTATTTAGAGGAGCGTACCGTCGTGTACGAGGACCGAGAAGGTAATTTGAGGTGTCGGCCCATGTCGTGCGGTGTTCCACAGGGGTCTGTTCTTGGACCCCTCTTGTGGAACATAGGGTACGACTGGGCCCTTCGCGCCGATTTCCCCCCCGGGCTGGGTGTAATCTGTTACGCAGACGATACCCTCGTGACAGCCCGGGGGGCAAACTTCCAAGAGGCGGCGCGCCTGGCCACAGGGGGAGTCTCCCTGGTGGTCGGGCGCATTGAGGCGCTGGGCTTACGGGTGGCCCTAGATAAGACGGAGGCCCTGTTATTTCATGGGCCCCGTCGTGGTCCACCCCCTGGCGCCTCCATCGTGGTCAACTCGGTCCTCGTACCGGTTCGGGCCCAGATGAAATATCTGGGCCTGATCCTCGACGGGAGGTGGCTCTTCGACGAGCACTTCCGACAGCTTGCTCCAAAGCTGGTCGGCGCTGCGTCTGCCCTAGGGCGACTCTTGCCCAATATGGGTGGGCCCCAGCGTCGCGACAAGACGGCTGTACACGGGGGTTGTCCGGTCAATGGCGCTGTACGGTGCACCGGTGTGGGCGGCGGCTCTGACCGCCCAGAATAGGGTACGCCTCTGGCGCCCTCAGAGGGTAATGGCGGTCAGAGCCATACGCGGTTACCGCACCGTTTCGACGGAGGTGGCATGCGCATTGGCCGGAACTCCCCCGTGGGATTTGGAGGCGGAAGTGCTCGCCGAAGTTTATCGGCGAGTGGCTGACTTCCGGGCGGAAGGCGGATTTCGCCCTCCGCCCGAGGATGTGCGCGAGTGGCGCGAAGCCGCTCGCCGAGCCACGATGGCTCGTTGGTCGTTCCGGCTGGAGACTCCACGCGCTGGCTTCGCCGCCGTGGAGGCTCTCCAGCCGGTCATCGCCGAGTGGGCAGGGCGGCAGCACGGGACCCTTTCCTTCCGACTGACGCAGGTGCTTTCCGGGCACGGTTGCTTCGGAAAGTACCTGCACACGGTCGCTAGGAGGGAACTGAGTCCCGCCTGCCACCACTGCGACTGCAGTGAGGACTCGGCCCAGCACACGCTGGCGGTCTGCCCCGCATGGGCGGCGCAGCGCCGGGCCCTCACTGCAGTCATCGGAGTGGATCTCTCGCTACCGGCCGTAGTACGCTCCATGGCCGGTAGCGACAGTTGTTTTACCGCGGTCGCAACCTTCTGCGAGGTAGTAATCTCGCGGAAGGAGGCGGCGGAGAGGGCCCGGGAGGACGACCTCCACTCGGACCCGATCCGCCGCCGGCGAACCGGGCGGCGGAGGCTCGCCTACCACAGCCTCATGCCGCCCTGAGTGTGGCCGCGGGTGGACGGGGTGGGTTTCCCCTCCACCCGCATTAGTTTGGCAAGCCGCGAGGGGGCGGCGTCCGCGTGTGCCGGACGTCGCCTAAAGAGAGGAACAAAAAACATTGAGACGGAGCCCGCACCAGGAGCGGGCTGGCGCTAGGAGGGGTCCGGATGTCTTAACAACAGCTGTTCCCGGATCCCTCCTGTTACAGGCGCAGAGTGGCACACCGTGTGGTTTTAGTCGGTCCGAGTCCGACACACCACCCCGCCGCAAACCCCGGAGGGGTGACGGTCCGAGGGGATTTCCACACGTTAAAAAAAAAAAAAAAAAAGGGTTTGTGTCAAGTTTTCCTTCTCCCTGCAGTGCTGTTGTCCTGAGTAGTTTGTTCCCTTAGTCGACTCTTACGACACCCATGGGATGAATAGGGGTGGTGACACTCCGTATTCTTAATCCGTCACCATCGGGCATCACGTTGTCACCTGTATCTTAAGAGTGGGTGTGATGTGTATAGGGTTTTGGCTGGTCACTATTATGACCAACCATATCTCTGACCCTTCCTGGCAATTTAGTTGTTTTCAGAGGGAGACAGGGAATTGCGATAGGGAAAATGGAGCTTGTTATGAGGTGCCAAGTTACGCCATAGTTAGTGTAAGAGGTACTGCAGTTCTCAGATTAGGATTCGACTGAGAATCGAATCCGGTTTTGGTTTTCAATCCATCCGAAAATCGAACTAGAAGAAACTGGTTTCGCGTACCTTATTATACCTCACAGTTTTAATGAGACCTCTTTTCAAATCAAAATTTAATTAAATTTAAGAGAGAAAGATTTCAACTTGCGAACTGTATGTTTTAATAGTATTTAGACATCTCCAATGCTGAGATTAATAGAATTTGTTTTAATTACTCTCTGTTCATACGACTCATGAAATAAATAAATAGAAAAATGCGAAGCAAATATTTTTTACCCTGATTTGCTTACCTGTTAATGTATTCTTTTATTCCGAATTTACTCTTAATTAAAACAATTAGAGCAATGCCAGACGAACTTAATATGTAAGGAACAAATACAAATATATCTTCTTAATACGACCCATTTTCCCAAACTAGGTTGGGTTCAGCTTTATGTTTACTATGAAACGGCTGAGCTTTGATTTCTTACGCTTAACGACTGAAATCAGACCTCCTCAACCCAAGTACTACGCGTTATCGAAGTTCTGGAGAAAGACTTTTGTCGGACTTTTTAGGGTTCTAATTACCCATAGCGATTGCCACGGGTGTTCGTATGGCCACCGGGGGGACGGGGAGGGGTCTCGATAAATACAGATATACTTGAGATACTATACACAACCAAACTAGAATTAGTTTGGTTGTTTTACTACGTTTAGCCATATCTTGTTTGATTGAACTTGTTTTTAATATCTCAAGTATATCTGTATTTATAGAGACCGCTCCCCGTCCGTACAATGAATAAATAAAACCAATGCAACACAATTTTATCAATACACTCAATTCATAAATTAACCAATTTTATTATAAAAGTTGACAATAGTACTGTAAAATTTCCCAATGTTATCGGTAATCATCACACAGTAGGTACTGCTACTACTTCACCACTTTTAATTCTGAAGTGTCTCACACAACCGCTTAAAGATGATGTCCAGCCCTACGCTAATTGCAAAGCTTGGATAAGGCATATGACCGGTCTTTCTAACAGCTCAAGTCTTTCCAACATGATACGCCGGGCCATACGATGAAAATTTTATATAGTTCAAGGCAAACCAATTCGAACTAAAGCCCAAACTTACTCTACTAATATTGTTATCATCAGGGTACTCTTCTTCTTTTCTTTATTTTAAAAGACAACTCCCGCATTAGGAATATATCCTGTGTCGCGGGGGACTTTACAAACATACATGAAACTGACATAAAGAACACCCAGCCTCAGAACAACAATTTGTGGATCACACAAAGTATCGTCCTATGTGTCGCGCTAGTCTGTAGATAGATATCAAAAGGCGGGAAACGTGCCAGGACTGTCGCTAAGGGACGAAATCGTGCGGTAACCCCGTACGATCCGAATGGCCGCTACAGACAGCGGCCCTTGATTGAGCTTCGCTCAGCAGCAGGAGGTGGCCGATAGGCACTTGGCCCATATCGGCGCTCCGTAGAGGGCCATGGATCGCATCACCGCACAGTAGAAGCACCGAACTTCCTCCCGCAGACTGCAACCCTTAGACCTAAACCGATGATCATTGTTGAACAGCTTTTAATTTCGATTGCTCACCTTAAAATCTTTAACGTTTTGAGAGAATCTATCATAATTTTAATTATAAACGTCTTGAAAATTCTCTCAACTTCTAGTTTATAATTATAATTCAAAATAGAACGAACAGACCGCACAATCAGAGAACCAAATGAGCCAACAAAATCAAGCGAAAATTTAAATGAAAGTAACGCAATAGGGAATGGAATTGTAAGGAGTGTACACACGGTACGGTAAGGCCGTGTTTACACGCTACGGCAAACGGCGCAAAAGGTACGGATTTGTTAGGATGTAAATCAAACTGGATGTTTTATTAAACACTCCAGTGTGCTGTATATTCAAATTAAGCGGCGGTGTCGATGATAAGAAAATATGGAGGAGGCTTTACTTGGTTGTGAATATGGTGTATATTCACAACCCAGTAAAGGATTAGAAGTATTATGGGGAAACTCTTGTATTTATTAGTCTATTTAATTGTTAAATCAAGTGTTATATTAACAGTTATTAATTCTGGTTATTAGGTACTTGTTTTTGTTTAATAATCATAATATTATTGCTGTACTCATAAAATTATACATGCAATATTGATCCAAATAGTTTTTACTACTACTTCTGATACATTACTACTTACATATTATATCTACACTCTTCAAAAATAGAATGGGAATCGAACCTACAACTTTGTCACAGTATTAAGGATTATTGTCCACTAGGTCTCACAGTTAGGTATGTACCTAATAAACATGGTTTGATTTAAAATTGAAAAAAATACTGCTCATCTACTAATAGAAAATTAAAAAAACCGGTCAGGTACGAGTTGAACTCGTGCGCCGATTTTACGTAGATTTTCGCGAAAATTTGTAAGTACCAAAATATATCTTAATTTTCAACTTTTTTTATTTTTTGAAATAATTCCTTTATTTACGAGTATGCTGTAAGACGTTTCTTTTTGAAAAATTTCATGATACTAGGTACACTACCATATAGGTTTTAGACCTAAAACCTATAGGGTACTGCCGGTCTTATAGCACAAGTAAAGAGAAAATTCTGAAAAATAAAAAGTTTAAAATTAAGGTAAATTTTGTTACTTACAAGTTTTCGCGAAAATCGAAATTTGCCCATATCTTTTTATCGTGTTGACTCAGGACCTTGATTAGGCCAACACAGTTCCATATTTCAATGTGAATGTGTGGCAATAACTTACGCTGCCACAACGGCCGTGTCAAGGGGTATCAAGGACTACAACATCCGAATAATATCCGACAGCATGGCCGTCTTAAAGGCATTGGAGGGCAACACAATGACCTCTGGTGTTGTCTTCGAATGCCACCACTTGAACAGCTCGCTATATTCAATGGGGTACTCCTCCAATGGATTAAAGGGCACAGTAACTCACACGGGAGCGATGCGGCAGATGAGTTGGCAAGGAGGGGTTCGGCAACCCCAACCTCTGGCCCAACCCCACTCCTGCCCATATCGTTTAACCAAATACGATGCTGGGTCAGGCAACGGACCTGTGAAGCACACAACCGGAGGTGGAAAAACTCACCCGGCTGCAGACAGTCCAAACTGGTGCTGAATCAAGTCACACCACGACTCACCTGCAGATTGATCAGTCTTAGCAGACCGGAAATCAGAATGGTTGTCGGAACTATTACAGGACATCTAGCCCTGAACCGACAACTATTCATCATCAATGCGACGGATAGTCCCCTGTGCAGGGGATGTCTGGAAGCTGAAGAAACGGCCGTCCACGTAGTCCTGGAATGCGAGGGAGTGGCCACACAACGGGCAAGTATCATTCCTGATATAAAGTCGCTCCTAGAAGCCTGTGAACGCCCCAGGAGGCTTCTGCGCTTCTGGAAGGAGCTTGGCTGGCTCACCTAGTCAACCAATCCTCGACACATAAAGGACCACTCTCTCAGGAAACCGAAGCCCACAACCAATACCAATACCAATACCAGGACCTTGATTTTTATACACCTAATAGGGACAATAGACCTCAGTATTTGGTATAAATATCAACTTGCTAGGTTTACCCCTTCCTGATAATATTGGTGGTGACACACGAACAGACAGACAGACGGACAAGAAAGTGATCTTATAAGGGTTCCTTTTTTACCTTTTGAGCTACGGAACCCTAAAAATGACAGTTTATAATAACATATCATGATTTAGTTGTATTGAATGTAATATTGCTTCTCACAGATTATTATTTTACTAACAGATCAAGGAAAACCTGCAAATGAGATTGCACCTTTATGTAATTGATAGCTTCAAAAAATCACGAGTTAATTATTCTAACTCTAATGTCACGTTTAATATAAATTATATTTCGAAGAACCTGTAGCTAAATACAATCTACTAGAAGTAACTTAGGAAGTAACTTAAAATAAAAAATCCTTTTCCATAACACTGAACACGAAAAGATTTCCACCTCAGCGTTCCCGTTGGCAATATTTACCCGTTACTTTCTGTAAACACCAGAACATCTCGAATATAACTCGTACAAGAAAATTAAGCTTGTTTAATTATCTAACTTTGCCCGCCTTTTGTTGTGCGGCTGCGTAGGTATGTATTATTTTATTGGAAAGTAGGTGAATCTTTCAACTTGAAAACCGTTTGAGATAAGGTGGAAGAAATAATTGTATTTTGTACTTGACGAGGTAAAGAACTTAATTAATATGTTTTATGGTATAATATGCTTTGCTTTCAAACGCTGACATCGCCCGTGGTGATTATAAATAAATATTTTGTAGAAATAATGAGCATAAAATCACTTAGATATCAGCGTGAGAGACTCGCAGAGTCACTTGCGCATAGCGACGCATCGCCACATTGCATTACATGTTACATAAACTATCAAAAAGCATGGCGACGCATGCTGTGGTGACGGCTCACTTCATCAAAACTTATGAACTCTCAATTTCTATGACATGAAAGGGATCGAAAAGGGATATTATACCGTTCGGATAGGCAAGAAAAACTGTCCACGAAATCATTAGAGCGCGAGATTCTATAAAATTATCTAAAGAAGGAATAATCAAGGACAAGTACAATGATTATTTACAGACTACGACAACTTTTTGCCATTGGCAGTTTATATAAACTTGTATGCGACAATAACATACGATATAATAGTATAGTTATTATATTGTATATTGTTATCGCTAGTACAGGCAAAGGGTGTAATTGTATTCTGAATGATAAACAAGCATCACTAATTATAAAACCAGGAAAAATTATGATTAATTAGTACTAAGTCAGCTATTAAAAAATATTTTCGATAAAGCAAAACACGAACTTTCCTCAACATTATTCACGGCCATTAATAAGAAGTACCAGGATGGCAGAACTCGACCGGAGCAAACTTCGTATCTGCTTCCGCTAACTACTAAAAGATGGTAATGAAGCGCACTCACCTTTATATACATATCTCTTTCGTTCCTATACAATTTGCTTTTTACCATCCCTCTCTAAGCTGCTGTCACAGCCACAACGGCGATCCAGACGGTGACAAGAAATTAATTAGGGGAAGCTAGGGAAAATAATGGTGTGCCGTGATTTTTAAATGAAATTTATTTTCTTCACTTCATTTATTTCTGGGCGACATGACACTTCGGAAATTATTAGACTTTAGCGGGGTTTCCCTTCCGTAGGTAATGTTTCAACTTGTTTACCTTGACTCAACGTCGTAAGGTTTTGTGTCGACTTTTTTCTGACATTGACGTGTTTTATTCAAAAAAGTCTAAAATAATAATTAAATTTGTAATTGCCTACGGAATTTGCATCCAAGTTATTTAACTGTGTGCAAAATATAATTTGATTTTGATTGAAGACAATTGTGTTTTCTCTAAAAACTTCTAGTTTTATGTGTTTTTAAATTTATTTTTTGTCTTTGATATTGGGAGTATTCTCAAATAAAAATTAGACAAAGGAGTAAAACCGTACCCATGATTTGCCTAGATATGTTTATTTTTTATTTAACTTAGGAGGGGGAATTTGATTTAAAATTCCGCCTCACATGTCCAGCACCAGATTATCAAGCACCAGATACCAGAAATCAGGTACAGCGATCTGTTATATTCTATAAAGTAGTGGCAAGGTGTAAATTTCAACTAATACGTAATTTAGATATAGTGTATAAATATTTTTATTGGTCGCCCAGGCTCATGAACGATTGAATGGAATAGAATGACTGCACGAATTGCGTAGTGGTTTAAGCGGTCGCCACGCCGCTTACTACTACGCTGTGGGTCCGATCCCCACATGGGACCACACTTTGTGTGATCCACAAATTGTTGTTCTGAGTCTGGGTGTTCTTTGTGTCAAATTCATGTATGTTTGTAAACTCATCCGAGACACAGGACATACTTATTCCTAATGAAAGAGCTTCAAGAAATTCCATAGAAACAGTAAAATTTTCGTGTCAAATTTATGGTGCTTAGCAAGCCAATACCGAGAAGGGAACCTTATAGTTTTACGTCAAAGCAGAACTAACTTACCAACTTTAATTTAATAGCCACACTATTAACATTACAATACACCTAAAACTATACCAATTTGTAACTAAGTACGGGTCCAAAATACCCCAGGTAAATTTAATTTAGGGTTAAACGTAATTGCAGACGACGCACATCGGGTCGTATTAACACATCGTAAATTCAACCCTTAAACACCTTGCTAATAATTAAGATCGGTCTTTGAAACCCTCGGGATTGTTGGGCCAATTTAACAATAACACCTACTGTTGCGGACGGGTTAAAGGATATATCGGGTCACCTTTATTTAGTGATATTTTACGAGGGTTAAGTAAAGTGAGGTGACTGTTATGGGATAATCGTGGTGTTTTGTTAAGGTATCGTTCATTCCATTGCGGTTTTAGTTTAACTAAAGAGGGTAGAGGTAAAGAGAGCTGTCTTGTATGGCAATGAAAAGAACAAGTCTAAAAAGTTACAAATAAAAGTAAAAAATGGTACTAAGAATGACTCGAGCTTAGCTTTTCTAGTCAAAGTAAAGCGTGTTTCAAAATAACTTTTTTGGTATAAAATATTTAACAAACATTGTCCTGGCATATTTACTGGTTATTTAAACATAATTACCAACTGCTCATACAACATATAGTTAAACCCATTCAATTTAATCTTATTTCATTCCAAGTGTAACTCCCAATTTGTCTTGTTTCCCAATCATCAACATTGTTCCGGTGTGTCCATACTGGCAAACACCAGAACAATGTTGTGGTATTTTTAATGATACCATTGTATTTATCTGTAAATTGCAAAAGAGTGCCCATAGGTTTGTTTGCCCTTTCTTGTCATAAGGCTCAACCCCTTGGAAACAGGCGGTTGTGGATCGGTACAGGCATATCATTGATTTTGCATAGCAATAAAGCATAATTTTATTTAAAAAAAACGTAACTATTTGACAAAAGAGAGATTGTTGCTATTGTGTGTGTCTACGAGTCTTAAAAGTCTATATAAAAGACTATTTCAAACAATTTTAATTATTTTTATGCAATAAAGATATTTTGAATTTGAATCAATCAATCATTCAATTTATACCGATCTGTTTAACACAGGACTTTAAAGGACTAATTATTTCATTTAGGATTCCTAGCTAGATATTTTTGTCAATCAATTTTTCTCCAATCAAGCAATCACGAAGCCCATGCTAACAAACATTTCATGTCAAGCATTTATATCACGAACTAATTATCCCCATATTAAGTCCACGATACTAAGTATTAATATATACATTTACCATGGTGATATAATGACATCATAGTATGAAAATTTAATTCATAATCGAGGCATTTATACATGGACAGTATCGTGACAAATATAATCAGTTATTTTTATATTATCTTGTCTATCAAATTTCACTTTTAATTTGTTTAGATGTGTTAGTTTGATATCTGAATTGTTCAGTTCGAGAGCGTGTGTTTTTGTAATGACTTAGATAATTACATATTATGAGTTTGGTAATAAGTTGTAATTTGACTACCGAAATTTTGTTTTCGTTGTAAGACTAAAAAATATACCATTAGTGAGAAACAATGTTTTCAGAGCGCACGCATCAAGTTCAAGTAATTAACGAGGATTTTCAAGAAATCCAACCGAAACATGACTCTACAGCGAAGAAAACAGATAAATTTGAATTGCTTCAGAATCAATTCACGAAATATTTTAAATTATTTCTCAATACCTCTTCAATACATGGCTTGAACCATATAGTGGCTGCTAGAAGACAATTCATGGAAAGGTAAGTGCTCAAATTTGTTCAAGAAAGTTTCCCGTTAATATTTGTATTTTTTTTTGGAAGGGGAAAATGGTGTAAGGACACAACGTATCTCACCTACTAACTTTCCTTTCATATATGATAGAGAACCGGTCTGGGTTGTTTTTAAATAGAGTAACGTCAGAAAAGCTGACGTCATACTTTAGATTTTCGTAGTTTTTCTTTATAAAAGCTGTAGTAAATAACAACAACAACAACATTAAATACAGTTAAATATTTATTCCAAGGTCTTACTAACATTCGTACATATCTATGTACATATTTACTACCGTACGGATCTCTGTACAGTAGAAAATAAAGACGATAGTAAATACAGTTAAAGATGTATTCCAAGGTCTAACCAACAAGTTGTACATAGATCCGTACAGCCCGACGGCTCGAGGGAGAATAACCGAGTACGCGCAATGCAGCTCGTTTTTATAAGACGCCATCGCCTGTGTTTACATGTTGTTAGGTTAAGTGTTGCGTTGTGTTTAGATAATACGATTCTTCAGGTTATTTCTTAACACTAATTATCAAAACGTCAATTATAATCCATTAGAATATACTTTAAATCAATCAAATTATTTTTATTAAGTCAGGTAGTTTATAGTTGCTCCGATATATATAATAATTATGTAAGTATACAGTTCAGATAGCGTAAGCAAACATACAATTAACGAGAGTCTAGAGATGGCTGTTCCCGCTGTTAAGTCAATTTATCCAGGTTACGTGAATACGTGAATACTTGCATTTTATTTATCCCAATAAGTTATAGGTAACACACATATACATAATTCCCTAAAATGTTGATTCACTTGCTAACATTTTTATTTTCTCCCACAGTATCCTCTGGTTGTCAATCATTGTAATATCAGGGTATGGTTCGTTATACCTCTCCAGCATTACTTGGGGACGCTACCAATCTTCTCCAACCGTCATATCTATGGACCGGGATATGTTTGCTTGGAACACCACGTTCCCATGTGTGACGATTTGTCCAAATGGCATACTTAACATTGATCCAAAAAAGCTTGAACTATACTTGAAGTAAGGATGAGTACAAACGTTTTTAGCATGTTACGTCAAAAGTGTTGCATGTCGCGTATGAATGCTCATAATAATAATTACTTAAAAGATCTCATACACATCCCAAAGTAGGTAGTGTCTGTACTATGGTAACCAGACAGCTGATAAATACACTAGTTTATCCGTTTCTAAGTACGCACCATATTATAGATAAATTACATCCTAAAACAGAGCAAATGATTGTCATCAATATAATCAATTTGTCCTGGTTGACAATCAAATACACAGACTCTGGCATACTAGTCACATAACTCACTTAACAGTAAAAAATAAATGCAAATGAAAGTACCAAATAGACCAAGGTAGTTATAACTCTCTACATGAACTGACTGATAATGTACTACATTTACTCTGATTTCAGTAATTCTAAAGTAGAAAACAAGACCGCACTGCAATCCTTCATCATAGGTCTTGCCAATGCTTCATATAAATCATTTGAATTTGTACCAGAATATTTTGAGGTTCCCCCAGAAGAGTATGTAGATTTACTGTTGAACCTTTCTCTGGAATTCAAACCTACACTTACTATTGGCGTAGCAAATGTAGCTTTAAATGTTGTGCCGACGATAACAGAAATGGGCCTGTGCTACGCTATTAATTCCAGAACTGCCATTTATAATTCACCTGAGTAAGTATATATTTTTATTTAAGATGAGTACCGCTACCCATGTGTTGTTGCACTGTTGTTTGAAATTGACCGTACTTAACACCCCCTGATTAAACTCTATAGTAATTAGTGTTTATTGCCATGTTCACGTCTTATTGTTAATTTCCAGGTCACACATAGTATGTTTCATAAAACTTCGCTGAATAAGAATATTGTAATATAAGTACAAGAATATTGCACACACTTCAATCATTAATTTAACTGAAGCTAAATTTTATTGGTGCCTAGTTAACTCATTATATACATATTGCATATATGTATATAATGAGTTAACTAGGCACCAATAAAATTTAAAGATTAAGTGTTTCTTTTTCTTTCTACTACAGGTATAGAGCGGCTAATAGATGGGATATTATAAAAAAAGAAAACCAATCATTATTTATTCATCCTCTTGACGGAGAAGTATTCGCTCAAGTCATGAATATGTCCTCTCCATATAACGTTTGTGTTACATTAATAGAATCCTATTCGCTATTCTCTTCTTCTCTTTTCTTCTTTTTTTTTGCTGTTTCTGTGTGTAATTTATCTTTCGACAATTTAAGTTTTGTTATAAACCATATAAAATATTATCGTTCTGTCATTCATTGTGAAACTTTTAGGTATTTCTCCATGGACCCCAAGAGATACCAGATGTTACGTCAAAGTCTCAGCAGTCGGCAGATTGTTTTTATATGAAGTTGTATGTCACAGCACTTACTGTATACACTTCAGAGAAAGCGGCTGAGTAAGATAACATATCATAAGTACAATATTCTAGTAAAATGAAGACAAACATTTGTCATTCTAAATAACCTGATTAACTTTTGGTTCTAACTCTTCAAAGTTCAGTCTTATGTTTATGTAAAATATTTTTCCACTAAAATTTGCACAAACGATTGCTACTAGTCGTTGGTCATACAAGATTTGGTAATTGTTTTTATTCCAATGGTTAGATCTATAGTTTTAACACTTTTTTTTAGATTAAGTGTAAATCAACGACGCTGTAGATTCCCTCACGAAAATAATTTGAAACACAACTCTATTTACACGTACACAATGTGTCGAATGGAATGCCGTATTAATCTTTGTTTGAAGTATTGCAAATGTATACCTCACTTTTACAGGAAAATTGGTGAGTTTTATTTTATCAAAATTTCCACGCTGTAGTTGAATATGATATACGATTATGAACTCTTAGCAGAACAGAATAAGATATAATATCTTTATTTTCTATTTGAACTGTGTGCAATTAAAACGTTTCAAATTTTCATAAAGCATTTATACTCAAACATACTCTGTTGATTTACTACAAAAGCCTGTAGAAATGAGCTACTTTACTTCTAGTATTCCAATTTAACTCTGTCTTGTGTGAGATGAAAAAGATTCCGTACTCGGGGATACTCCACTGTGAACGAGTATATGCTATCCGTGGCCCTTAATAGAAAGCAGTCTCCTTGCATCCAACTCCACAGCTTAGTTAATTCTTTTTTTTCTATCAAAAAGATTGGAAATTTAGAGTGGTATCAAATTATTCTTATATTTCTTTAAATTGGCAGGTGATGAAAAAATATGTAATGCTACTGGTTTAAAATGTTTATCAGAATACAAAGGTAAGTTAAAAAGGAATTGTTCTGACCCCGTAGGCTAATTTCTTACGATGATTCGTTTCTTTCCAATGTAATATTAATTAACCTTTTTTTAAATCACAAGTATTATTTCATTTTTTAACAACGTCATTTGCTAAATGCAAGAATAAAAAAACACTTTAGGAGGTCCATTAGGCCCAGTTAGAAATTTGTTTAATAATGTCAATTTTTAAATATTTTTCTTTTTATGCTGTTTTGTTTTCTGTCTGGGAGTGGACTGGGACAGGCTGATGATGATGATTATTCTGTTTATGAAAAAAAGGAAACAAAACTACTTAGGGCATACTGACAGTTTCTGGATTCTGATAAATAAGACCAGATATAAGACACGATACATTGATTGTTTTTCAAAGTATATTCCCTGCAATTAATGCATTTTTGCATTGAACTGTACAAAGCAATTGGACTAGTCTTCCTTAGGGACCTCTTCAAAGGCTTCATGGAACGCATTCACCACCGATTCAGGGCTCGTAAAACGTGTGTTTCTAAGTTTGTCTTTAATTTTAGTAAATAAGAGAAGTCGCAGGGTGCGAGGTCCGGGCTGTAAGGCGGATACGTCATCCGTTCCACATTTGAAGCCTTCAAACAGGCTTAGGCTTAGGCAGGCAACCTTAGCGCAATGTGAGGATGTGTTGTCGTGGTAAAGGAGGACATTACTTCGAGGACGCTTTTCGGAAACTTTTTCTAAGACTCTGGGCAAGCAAGTATTAATATACTATTCTGCAGTCACTGTCCTTTGATCTTCAAGAGATATTGTAGTGTAATGTCCGGATTCGTCGAAAAAAGAAGCAATCATTTTTTTACCAATGCTTCGATTTCTCTTAACTTTCGACAGTAAATTTTCAAAAGGAATGACCACTTTGGCCGACTGATTTTTTCTTACGGGTTCAAAGCAGTACACCCAGGTTTCGTTACCTGTCACGATATTATAGATAGCCAATGGCTGTCCTCTGTTAAGCTTTTTTATCATTTTACAGTCCTCCGTGAAGTTATGTCGAGTGAAAACCTTCAGATGCACATGTCAAATGTTTTGCACTTGACTCATTCCAATACCCAACAAAGCACGAATTTGCTGGAAAGTATTTTTTTTGTCAGTTCCAGTAAGTTATCGTGCTGTGTCAATATTAGAGTCTGTAACCGCAGTCGCCGGTCGACCTTTACGTACCTCGTCATGAAGATGATCACATCTACGTCTAAATTCTCCAAACCATGAATACACAGAGCTGCGCCATGGTGCTTCATCACCAAATGCCAATTGAAGTCTCTTGTTCACTTAAGCCACAACGAAAATCACAAAAAATCATTGAACGAAAATGTTCACGAGTTACATTCATTTTAAAACGAGTGGATAAGAGTTAAATTCATTTTGGACGATGCGACACACAATTTTCGAAAGGACGTCACAATAAAAATATAAATGACAGTTTCGAAAATTAAAAATTAACATGTTCCCAAAGAGTTCCATTTTTGAATTCCAGAATTGTTTTTTCATTATTTTATTGTAAGTGGCCAGATCCAGAAACTTTCAGTATGCCCAATTTATTAGACCATGTAATTATCGGATATTATCTATGCCTTAAGTCAGAGATATAATCGATTTTCAGGAAACTAAGGCATAGTCTAAAAACTTAGAGCTATTTTTATATATATTGTTATATATAGTGACCCCCGCACTATAGGATTGAGGTGTTTTACTTTTTGAATCCTACTTTCTGCCGCTGCTTTCAGAGATGCTGTATACGCTGAGAGATAAAGATAAGAAAAGGATTAACTGTCCTTGCTTCCCTCTATGTGATGACGTCATTTATGTCTTACAGTCTAATGTATGTATAACACGAAGAGACACATTTAATTAAAACATATACATTACGTAAAGAAAATTTTTTGGTATCCTTCTTAAAAAAATAAGTTGAAAGTTATGTAAAAAACCCCACGTAAAACTATAGAGAATTAGAAAATATATTTTGACCTGTCATGGTAGAAAAGCTAACACCACGACAGTCTCAGATATTCTTGTCAATAAAATAAAAGAGGACATTAAAAGTGGTAGAAATTTCCGACAGGTAGCTTTTATTAATCTGTTGTTCAATCAATACTACAAAAATACACATAAACATATCAATACCAATATTAAAAAGTTGAAGAATTTCTTTGTTTGGTTGAATGCGCTAATCTCAGGAACTACTGGTTTGAATTGAAAAATTCGTTAAGTGTTGGATATCCCATTCATCTAGGATGGCTAATATAACAACACGCTATAAAGTAAAACGATGCAAAATATATTCCCTTTTAAAAGAGACTCAGACGAAGTTGAGCTGGTCAGCTAGTGTGTTATATGTTTCCAATTTATAATATACTAGCTGGTACCCATTCATTCGGGAATTTGAAAAGCGGTGCCTTAGTGGGTACGATTCCTGGACCGGGCAAAATCTTATAGGGTTTTTCTAAGAGGAAAAATAGCCTAAGTTATTCCTTATGTAAACAGCTACCTGTTTAGAAGATTACCCAGAACAAACAGACAGACCAAAAAAAAACTGTTTTTTAGGCATAGGTATCGTGCAAATGACCGTGTGAGTATGAAAAAAGCCTATTATTTTGACATTACAAACAGACACGTCAATTTTATTTATTTATATAAGTAGGTCAAAAACGAGAAAAAAATAATTTAGAAGATGCAACCGAAATCATTTAACTGAATTTTAATTTCTGTATATTTGTATTTCCAAATATATTTTAAATCTTACATTTTTTTGGAAGCATTATTTTCTTCTTGCCAACAGACACTTCAAGAGTGGTTTCTGGGCACCAATCTGCAGTGGGGTATGGTGTCGTACCCGAGAATGAGATACAGGCGAGATGTTATCTTTGGTTTCACGGATTTGCTAGGTATGTAATAATTGTTTTTCAACTGCAAAACCTAACCTTCCAATAACTTACTAAGAAAAGGTACAGAAATGCTATAATAACCCTATTTACCCCTATTTCCTGTACTTAAAGCGCTGTTTCTAATTCTTTTAATTTTGTTCCTGATTTTATAAACAAAAATGCTTCTGAAATCAGAACAATTCAACATCATCATCAACAACCTCTAATAGTCCGCTGCTGGACTTGGGCCTCTCCTTAGAAAGTAGGCTTTAGCCTACTATACCACGCTGGCCAGAGAGGTTGGTATTGGGTTTGTGTCAAGTTTTCCTTCTCTTTGCAGTGTTGTCGTTCTGCATAGTTTTCTCCCTTAGTCGGCTCTTACGACACCCACGGGATTAATAGGGGTGGTGACACTCCGTATTCTTAATCCGTCTCCACACGGATCACAAATAATAATGAATTTTAAAATACTGTATTGTTTATTTCTTAATTTTCCACTATTAGGGTTTCAGTTTCTCCTCTTTTTTGAATTCGTATAATGTGATCGTGTGGATCATGATATATTTATTTCTGTACTGTCCGTTTCCATAGTTTTATTTACTATTTTTACGAGATAGGGAGCAAGCGAGCAGACGGTTTACTCGATGATGATTACTGTTGCCAAGGTCTTCTGGACTCAACTCTTGGTCTCAACTCTACAGGTTGATTGGCCTTATATTTTTTAATAGTGCTAATTATTTGTTGTGTCCTCTCTCACAGTTTCCGTTGGAGGCATGGCTGGCTTATTCCTCGGCTGCAGCGTGCTCAGTTTCGTGGAAATCGTTTATTTTATAACACTTAGGCTTATTAGTTACAAAAAAAGCGAATGAATTTGTAAAGCTAAATATATCAGTAAAATTCATTTTTGTTTAACTCTTAAGTTATCGTTGTATTGTTTTTAAATTTAATTGTCTGATAAATTGATTGTACTAGTTAAAGTTAACATTCGATAGGACGTGTTTTGAATTGACATAATTATTTCCCTTATAAATGTTTATTAATTGACGTTTATAGCATTTGTTTAAATGAGAATATTATAGGCGTAATTCTGCACCCTAACTGCTGTGGGTCCGATCCCCACATGGGACTACACTTTGTGTGATCCACAAATTGTTTTTCTGAGTGTAGGTGTTCCTTGTTTCCATTTACACAGGATATACTTATTCCTAATGGGGAATTGTCTTTTTCTAAAAAATAAAAATAAAACTATTAGCGTTAAATGTATTCCTTGTTAAATAAGCATATTTTTTATTCCATTAATAATCTTATTAATAAATCAATACAATTTAGTCATGTCTGATGACGGGATTAATCAAACCTTTGTTCAGCTTCCAAGAGGATAATTTAATTGATAAGTTTTATTTTGGTGGTGGTAAATTATATTATTCACGGGCACATATATGTATATCTTATACAAGACATCACCTTTTTCTTTCCATTTTGATTATTATGGCAAAAAGTTACATTATTTCAAATCGATTCAGCGTTGTTTTACCGTGGTAATTGGCAATAACCTTTATAGCTGTATACAATGCAATAACTATTAAATAGATAAGTTCAATCATATTTAGATTAAAATCTTGATTGTCTATTAGTTATATTAACATTAGCAACTGCATTATATTCTATACAAGACAATCGTGAAAATAACACACCTATGTGCACTTGGAGTTTGTAATTTATGTATTACAATGTATTTGAAAGAAATATACCCTCATCCGATGAACTTTGAACGTTACTACCAAAATAAGCAACATTTTAAGAAATCTAGAAAAAGGAACATTCGTGTGTTAATAAAAATTCAAGCGAAGACTCACCTTAGACTGTTTTTAGAAAGTGCGTCAATACATGGACTGAATCATTTAGTAGCTGTCCGGAGACATTATTTTGAGATGTAAGTATAGTTTGTACTAAGTTTGTACTCGTACTAAGTATAGTTTGTAGATGTAGGATTACTATTCTTATTAATTGAGTAAAATCATAGGGTACCATTATGTGGTTTGAAAAACATAGGCCGGTTTGTTAACAATAAGAGTTTACTGTATTCATTATTGAACTGCACGACAGCACGGATGGCGTAGTGGTTTAAGCGGCCACCTCGCCGCTTACTACTGCGCTGTGTTGTGGGTCCGATCCCTATACGGGACGACACTTTGCCCCAATGTATAATTTTTTGTACCGAAGCATAAAAATTAATTAATAAAGTCAGTTACTAATATGTGATCGTTTAAATATGTAACGATTTAGTTAAATATTTTTGTATTAAGGAATTGGTGATAATAAATAAACGAACTAAAAAATTAATGTATTTAATAACGTGTATGTGTATTTTTGTGCTTACAGTTTCTTTTGGCTGATAATCATAGTTATTTCGGCGTTTGGTTCCTTATACCTCTCCAGCCTTACATGGAACCGCTACCAATCCTCACCAACTGTAATTTCCATGGATAAAGATATGTTTGCATGGAATACCAGCTTCCCCTCTGTTACCATCTGCTCTGACATCATTCACAACATCGATTACAAGAAGCTAGATATTTATTTGAAGTTAGTAATTAATTATGATTTAGTATCTATCTAGGTTTTGACCGTTTTTGAAATGGAAGAATAGTTCTACACAAGTGAAAATACTTGTGTAGAACTATTCTTCCATTTCCTGTGAAAATAACGGAAAGAAGAATTACAATTGCTAGTGATGTAAGCGAATTGAAGTGGTTGATACTTTTTTTTAAATAACTACGTATGTCATAATTGAATACAAAACAATACATATATTTCGACTAATTGCAGTGAATCAAAAGAATCAAATAAGACCAGACTGAAAAACTTTATCCTAAAACTTGCGAACGCCACCTACAACACCTTTGAAGATGTACCAAGTTATCCAGACATACATCCTGATGAATACCTATCACTGCTACTGAATCTCTCTCTGCCCTTAAAACCATTATTCACAGGCTCACTAAAAATGACAGTTGCTTTGCCAACTGTTACTGAAATGGGCATTTGTTACGCTGTGAACTCAAGAACTGCAGTATACAACTCTCCAGAGTGAGTGCAGAATTACACTTCTTTACAGAATTACATCACAACAATAAAATTGCATAACAGGTTACTTATAATCACACTGCCCGTTCCACTATAATGTTCTTTTTAAATTGAAAACTTCTTTAGGCGCGAAGAGCATTTTTGAACAACGAACAAAAGAATGTATTTTATGGTTTAACAAAAAACACTTTTTTTGAGATTGGAAAAAACCATTGAACTCGCGACATTGTTACCATTATCGTCACCTCTGTTGATAAGTATCTACATATAATGGCCCCGTTTACACGCGAGTTGAGTTTGGGTTGAAATACATAATTGGTATGAATAATATAACTATATATAATATAAACATGTATTGTGTATATACATAGAACAAAGAATGTTCATGTCGAAACTTTCCGAATAAAATAAAACAAAAGTATTTTTTCAAGTTTTCACTTCTGTCGGCACTCCCGGTGTGACACTGTTTTTTTTATGGCATAGGGGGGCAAACGATCTGACGGGTCACCCGATGGCAAGTGGCTACTGGCTACCACCATTGGATGCCCATCATTCATGAGTCACAAGTATGCTGCCGCCCTCTGCCAGCCCCAGTATCAGGGGGCAGGGAGAGTTTGGACTCCGGTAACATCACACACTCGTTAAAAGCAGCGCAAGAACTACCACCGATTTTCTATGAGACCCTGGTGGAGCCTGGTCCACGTGTATGCCAGGCTCCACCAGGCTCCTCACATACATAATCAGGAAATTAATGCGATGTTTTTGATGGTTTCACTAGGGTAAGTACAAGCATGGTCTGCGCTTGTAATCACAGTAACTTTGCGTAATTTAAAAGCTAGCTTCGATTCCTATCGGTATTATCGTACACCATTAAACGTAAAACTTTTTTGAATAGACCAATGGTATTTTTTAACATTTAATTATATTCATTATGTATATTTTGTTTTGTGTCTAATAAACGTATTTTCTTTCTTTCTTTCTATTTAAGGTTTTTCTTGACACCCAAAAATTGACAACATTGTTCCTTAAACAGGGATATATAAAAACGTTCACCTTACACACAACGCCATCTAGTTTCAAACTAAGCAGAACTTGTACTATAAAAGCTAGATTGACTGAGAGAATACTAAGATACCTAAGAGACCTCCTTTTTTGGAAATACATACATATTATACATAGAAAACACCTAAACTCCGAAACAAATATTTGCAGATCATACAAACATTTAGTCCGCCCAGGGAATCGAACCCGAGACCTCAGCACAGCAGTCGCATACGATGCTACTGCACCACCGAGGTTTACTTAAAAGAGTCTACTTGACTTTACTGTTTCAGATACTTGGCAGCCAATCGATGGGACGTCATACCTAACGAGAATGAGACATTTTACGCTCATCCTCTTGATGGAGAGGTATTTGTTAAGTTAACCATGAACAGGGGCCATTCGTTTACTGTAAGTTCTGTTTACTTAATAAATAAATAATAAAAATAAAATAAAATAAAAAGACGTATTTCCTGCATACATTTTACAGAGCTTATTTGATAAATTTTCTTGTTCTTGTTTTTTAAAAGACAATTCTCGCAATAGGAATATATCCAGTGTCGTGGGGGACTTAACAAACATACATGAAACGGACACAAAGAACACCCAGACTCAGAACCACAATTTGTGGATAACACAAAGTGTCGTCCCATGTGGGGTTTAAGCCCACAACACTCGGCGTAGTAGGAAGTGTTTATATAAAATAAAATATGAATATAATGAAAAATAGAACCTAATATTAGATAAAAATTAAGGTGGTTACATTTATTTTTCATTGAAATATGAATAATTAATTAGATTTAAAAAATTGAATAAATAAAAGAAGATTTTTAAAACATAGTTTAAATATTTTATTTTATTTTTTATTTATTTAACTTAATGCACAAGTTGTACACAGGCGGACTTAATGCCCAGGGCATTCTCTGCCAGTCAACCTTCGGGTGATGTAGAAAAATGATGTTGTAGGTGCAAGAGAAAACAGAGAATTTGACTCTTTTATATTAAATTTATTAAGATAAATCTATATTTATCATGCAAGAACCCCTCTTATGTGAGGGTGAAGGCCTCCTCCAGACTTTTCCACTTGTCCCTATCTTTGGCAGTTACTTTCAAATTTTTGCCTGCTATTTTCATTATATCGTCTTCCCAACGAGTTACCGGTCTCCCTCTCTTTCTAATACCCGAAGGGCCCTGCCATATCGTCAGTCTAGAGATCCAATAGTCGTCATTCATCCTGGCTACATGGCCTGCCCAGCGCCATTTCAACTTCTTAGAGAATTTAACTGCATTTATAACCTTAGTCTTTGGCCGTCTAGTATCGTGTGGCACTTTTTGTATTTTTCTCACATTTGTGATGCTTCCCTCCATACTTCGTTGGCAGGATCTTATTTTGTTTTTCTCTCGTAGTGTGTAGTTCCATATCTGACATTCGTAGGTGATACATGGGAGCAAGCAGGTGTCCATCATTTTTTTCTTTAAATTTATAGGCATAGTACCCTTTAGGCCACTTTTTACCGCGATAACCGAGATGCAGGCGGACGGAGCCGGGGGCAAAAGCTAGTTATAGATAAATTACAACTTGACACAGAACAAATGATGGTAAATATCACACAATTAGTTCTCCTGGGTGGGAATCAAACCCTCTTGCTTAGCAGTCAAGATCATTAAGCACTAAATACACGTCAAAGTGTCTCAGTTACTTACCAAGTATTGATTCCAGATCTATGTGCATGGACCTCAAGAGACTCCAGATATAACCTCAAAGTCCCACGTGTTGTTAGAAACGCTCTTCTTAAAGATATACGTCACTGCATTAACGGTCTACACTTCCCCAGAAGCCGCCAAGTAAGTTCAATAAAAAATCTTAGATCATTTAAATGTCTAGATGTCACACTACAATATTACTAAAATAAATGGAACAACTTTAAACTACTTGTGTGCGTGTGTATTGAGTGTTTATAGTAACGACCACAACACAGTCAACACGCAGCACATGCGGAAGGGGGCCAACTGTTGCACTCTATCTTCTTTCAATGCCTTGTCACAAACAGACATGTCAATGTTCTAACTAAAAATACAATCGAATTTAATAGAAACAATTTGGTTTCTTTTCCATGGCTATTTTTTCGCTATTTTACCAGGCCTCAAATTGAAAATATTGAAAACCTATATCCCATTTCAAAAGTATATAGCTTATCTAAAATAAATAACTATTGAAATTGGATAACATTAAAAATAATCAAGAATATCATCAAGAGAAAGATCAATCAGAAGAGCAACCGTCTGAAACTAGTTGGACATAAATCCACGACTAAAATTGTAATACTTTAAAAAATATTAATACCGATCATGAAAGATTATATTCATGAAAGTTTTTTACAGGTTAAGCGTGAGTCAGCGACGTTGCAGATTCCATTACGAGAACAATTTAAAACACAATTCTATATACACGTATACTATGTGCCGTATAGAATGTCGCATACGGCTGTGCTTGAAGTACTGTCAATGTATACCGCACTTTTACAGGAGGATCGGTAAGTTTCCGAGGCTCCTTCTATCCTTATCACTTTGATACTTGACAATCCACCATTGTGCGCTTCATATATTAATATATATTATCGCCTGCTGTGCTGCCGGCCAATACAACCTTACACCAGTCAAGAAAAGAACGTAGATCTTGGGACTAAGGGTTTACGTGACAAAGCACTCGTGATGCTTGCCTTGCAAAAATCCATGAACAGCGGTAGTGACTCTAGTTCTAATATGCTACAGAGAGGGGTGTAAATGACTGCGCCACAGTTCTCAACTACTGCAGTTCTTATCGAACATATTTATTTGTATACCTTTGCTATCAGTTCCAAATAAAGATTATTATTATTATTACTTACCATCTGGGCCTCAATTCTGCTATTTTAATATTATATCAATAGACTGTCCGTAGACTGACTTCGGAATAGTTTTTCACTTTTCGTATTCTATTAACTCTGTGAGACCAATGGTCTCCCGATGACTTGTCACTGAACTGCAGCAGATACAAATGTCGTCGATGTCTTTGTAATAGTTTGGTAAACGTACATTTTAAATTTGTAAGGAAATTGTATATTTAATTTTCTAGATATGACAATGTTGTTGTTATCACCATTGATGAGCCATTGTCACTACATCGACAGTCTATTGACGCTGTGAAGTTATGGTAGTAGAATATAGATATTTTGACTGATATCAATGGCATCTTAATAGCGTGTCAATGGAATGACTGTGGCTTCTACGTTAACATAAAATAGCAGAATTGAGGCCCAGGTGTCCACCTTCTCCTTATCTCCCAATGTAATAAAAAAGATGAAATGGTAGAACATTTACTTCGTTTGAAAAGGAGTTCGTTAACATCGCTTACCAAGAGGTCGTCTTTTTCAGGCGATGAAAAAATATGCAGCGTTGAAGGTCTGCACTGTTTGGCGAAACATAAAGGTAAAAAAAACCTTCAGGTTTGTGGTGTAGCACCTGGAGCTTTTTTATAAATTAACTTATTAATTCTAGAGGTGCTGTATCGACTTATGGATAAGCACGGCAAGCGAATAGATTGTGAATGTCTCCCTTTGTGTGACGATGTTAACTACGTGTTGATACCAGATGTAAGTATTTTCAGTTTTTTTTGTAAGTAACTTAAAAAAAAGGAGAATGAGAAGTTTTTTTTAACTTGAAAGGATATTCTTCAAGTTTGGATCATAGAAATTTAAAAAACGACCTTCATACCTTACCATTCAAATTAAAAAAAAGTTTTTTAAAGTTAATTATCTCATAGATGATTATATCTACATAAGTTTACATGGTATAAGTCTAGGCTGGAGTTAAAAATAATACAAACGAAAGCAGATACGAGTTTATGCGAGAATAATCTCGAGAAACTGGGGTTTTTTTTATGAAATAAATTCATAATTTATTAATTTATAAAATTTGATTTATACTGAGATAAAACCGCTAGGTGTTTCCTCAGTACAAATCTTGGGTCTTAGTCAACTAAATTTAGTTCTTCTTATAGGTTCTCTTCACCCCGCTCTAATCTCTATTCTCCTCACACTCTCTTTTTTTTATTACTTTATCTTTCGCTTTCCCTCCTTCTGTTCTCTCTTATGTTATTTGTAACTTCCGTCGTGACTCAATAACATCAATATTTATTTGATTTTTTCGGCTAAGCGCGAAACAAAACAAAGTATTTTCTGAATTGTTGTTACTAACATAACTTTTTAAAATATTTCTATTTTTGGTGGTATTTCACACAATGTGCTATAAATTAACATTACTTTTCTATAGTGTGTATTACAATCATGTCAAAAGATATAATTATAATATTGTTTATTTCTGTTGCTAGGGCCTTACCAACTCATATTTAGGATCCACCGAGCTACAGTGGGGTATAACGACGTATCCCCGCATGAGATACAAACGCAATATTATTTTCAGTTTCACTGATGTCTTAGGTATGTATTTTTTCTTCTTCTTCTTTTAAAAAGACAACTCCCGCGTTAGGAATATATCCTGTGTCGCGGGACAACAACATACATGAAACGGACACAAAGAACACCCGGACTTAGAACAACAATTTGTGGATTACACAGTCTCGTCCCATGTGGGGTTTGAACCCATAACACTCGTCGTAGTAAGAAGCGGCGTGGCAACCGCTTAAACCACTACGCCATCCGTGCAGTTTCTTTTACTGTTTTTTTTTTGTTATTTACAAAATACTATACTATACTGTTTTTGCATTGTTTCTAACTGCACATGTAGGCCTGATGGCAGTAGTCATAAGCCAAACGATATGGGTTCGATTCCCACCCAGGACAAAAATTGTATGATGAGCACACTCACTTGATCTGTATATGGCCGTAATTTATCTGAAATCGGATATATTAGAAATATACAGATATGTTTATCATAGTACAGGGTCTCCTTAGTTTTGGAGCAGATAGCAGTGTGTGAGATCACATCCCACATCACATCAACAGCCTTTGATAGTCCACTGCTGGACATAGGCCTTTCCTTAAAAAGGAGGTTTTGGCCAATATACCACGCTGGCCAGACGGGTTTGTACAGGGTTTGTGTCAAGTTTTCCTTCTCTTTGCAGTGCTGTTGTCCTGCGTAGTTTGCTCTCTTAGTCGGCTCTTACGACACCCATGGGATGAATAGGGGCGGTGACACTCCGTACTACTTTCTTCCTTAATCCGTCACCACACGCATACGTGCGCGAGATATGTGAAGTTATTATTATTATTATTTCTGAGTTAATTTTACCCACATGGCTGATATGATGAAACTTCCAAAACCATTGAATAAAGTAACCGCTTTTAATTTTATTTATTAATAAAACCAGCTTGAGTGCTTGCATAATACAATCAACGAGTCTTTGAAACACATATGAAAGTATTCTCTTTACGCACATGACCATGCTTAGACTCTACAGATATCGGTCAGCTTGACCTGAATGGTACAAGACCTTCACAGGATACCAATGTAATTAATTCTTTCGTTGGATTTCAAGGAGTAAGTTAGGTCACTAAAAGAACTCCATTGATTCTGAGGTGCAACTGAAGTATACTGTTCTCTGTGTTGGGGATGAGTTATGACACCTGCTTCCCCAGAAGCTCACTAATTCTGCTATACCTTACTGTCTTGTAAACTGTTTTTGTGCAGTGGCTGTGGGCGGTATGGCGGGACTGTTCCTCGGGTGCTGCGTGCTCAGCTTTATGGAAATCGTATACTTCTTTACACTTAGACTTGTGTGTCACTATAACGGATACCAGTCTTGAATATTTGTTATACCACTGCACAAAACATGAGTATAAATAATTGAAATTCTCGATTGAATTATGAAAATATTTAAAAAGTTTTATCAGGACGGTCGTGTCTTTTATGTATTCAATTTGGTAAAAGGTTTATGTATGTACAATTCAATCAAATAAATCAGTATATAGGTATACAATGTGACGGGCCTGTTGGTCTAGTGGTTAGTGATCCTGAATGCCAACCCAGAGGTCGTGGATTCGATTCCCACCCAGGACAAATAATTGTGTGATGAGCACGGTCATTCGTTCTGTGTCTGGGTGTAATTTATGTAAAATATGTATGTATTTAAATAAATAAAAATATGTTTATCAGCAGTCTGGTTACCATAGCACAGGCTCTGCCTAGTTTGGGATCAGACGGCCGTGTGTGGGATGTGTGATGTATTATTTTATTTTTTATTAAAAATATAGGTACATAACTATATATAGATAACTTTTTATGGTATCACTAATAGGTACACGAAAACTTGAGCACAAAAATCTCACGCAGATACATTTAAAAGATCAATAGCAGAACTTGTCTCTAAGAATTATCTCTTTGTTGTATAACAATATAAAAGAAGTACCTAACTAGATTTATTTGATTTTTAGGATCTCTTAAAATTTAAAAATTCCACAATGTCATTAAATTAAGAATAAGAAAATGAAATGAGTCAATGTACGCAATTCCCTTACTTTATTTTCAATGTATAAGAATATTTTATCTATTATTTCTATCACCGTGAAATCTAGTGATTAAAATGTGTGTATTAAAAAATATGTTTGTTTGAAACCATCAAAGCATTTCGCTAATATTTTAAGATTCATAAATAGAAAATAGAATGATATGGAAAATTCTAATTCTTCGTTTACAGACTTTCACAAAGAACTGTTATGAAGTGTTTTTAGTATATTAGTCTATTTTTTTTTTTTGATACGACACAAAAAAATATATCCCAAAAAAGTTATAAAAGTTTTCATACCCCATGGATAATAATGAGTTCTTCAACGGTCAACAAATATCGCCCCT